AGCATGTACAACGTACAAGGAAGCAGTGGATTCAACTGTGACTTTCTACCAAAACCATCATCCCCTGCTGTTCACACGTCGCTGCTTAGAGACCTCCTCGTAAGTGATAATTTTGAAATCTGACAGATGAAAGCTGAGATGGCGCCGCACTCCGTAGTTGAAATTCTAGAGTATGGCTTCACCGACTGCTAAACCAAAAGAGACATCAGCAATGACACCCCACCAGGACTTCAAAGGACACACAAAAGCGGTGCGAGGCGTCATATACCTGCCAGGCGGGCAGCGGATCATCACTTGTTCAGTTGACGGCTCGCTGCGGGTATGGAACTTGAAGAGCGGGAAACAGATAGGTGAGGACTGGAGAGACGGAGAAAGTCAAGTGTACTGTATAGCGTTGTCTCCGGACGGGAAGAAAGTGGTTAGCGGGAGTGAGGACGGCGGAGTAAGGTTGTGGGACATCGACAAGTGCAAAGTCATCGCCAAATGGATGGGTCATACACAGTCAGTGTGTTCTGTCTGCTGGAGTCGAGATGGTCGGAGAGTGTTAAGCGGATCTGAAGATGGGACTGCAAGGCAATGGGATGTGGAAAGCGGAGAGACGATCCTCGAGCCAATTAAGACTGGGCACAGTGACGTGTGGGCAGTGGTCTATTCACCAGACATGTCCATGATTGCGACTGGTGGACGTGATGGGCCCTGGACTAGGACTGACGAACCCATCGAGTGCTCCATCAAAATCTGGAACACAAAGACAGACGAGCTGGTCGCAATTCTCAAAGGACATACACAGACAGTGGGTTGCCTGGCTTGGACCGAGGACGGAAAAACTCTTATCTCCGGGTCAGACGACAAGTCAATTAGGACATGGAATACCAAAACATGGAAGCAAACCACACTACTGGAAGCGCACACTCGCTGGGTCTGGGCAATTGCAATATCACCAAATGACTGCATCCTCGCAAGTGCATCGTACGACCAGACAGCGCTATTGTGGAACCTCGACAATGGACAACTCATCGGTCCGCCCCTCCGGCACGCACACTGCGTTAACTCCGTATCGTTTTCGGAAGATGGAAAACTACTAGCCACTGGCTGCCAGGACACAAACACGTACACATGGGATGTTGCTGCAATTGTTAAAGAAGCCGGCCTCGATGACCTACTTTCGAATTCAAAGGTGAAGCGATATACATGTCTCATTGTATATTCTCACAACTGAATGCGCTCTGCCAGGCCAATAAGTTGGCACTCCATGTACGTGACATTTTCATTAAAAGATCTTGTTATTCACAGCATATATGCTCTAGGCTAGTACTACACGACCTCCAGTGCAACAATGTCCGCCTACTCATCAGATACCCCAAGGTTTCTTTGATGGAGTCCCACCAGATCGCTCCCATGTATGTCATCACTATCAATTCGGTTCTGTTTTCCTGACCTTCATGTTCCCAGTCCTCCGCACGAAACCATCCCCACTCATCAGTACCGCCAGGCAGCACGTTTCTTAGTCGTTTATTCCACCGCAACCGCAGCCCCTCTGGTGCTTATGCTACGTCACCATCCTCCCCTCTCGACTGGGCTCGACACCTTGTGAAACAGCGTCGGCGAAGCGGTGAAGTTACCGAGTTGCAAGGGCGCAGCCCTGCTGTTGAAGTTCCGTATGCGAAGGGCAAACGTGTATGTTCTCTCTCTCTCTCTCGGATGTTCACTGGCAACTTCATCTAATATCACATAGAGAAATGCTTCAGCGGGGGAGGTTGCATTTGCGAAACAAAAACAGAAACAGAAACAGAAAATGAAACCATCGCACTCGAAGATCTCTACTGCAGGAAGCCCACAGCCTCCCAAGCCTAACATCGCTAGACCATCTTCGCAACCACAGACAGCTGACTCTTCGTTGTCCATCACGCCTGCTACCGGTGATGCTACCGCAGCTACGATTTCAACGACAGCGTCACGCCCTCATGCAATGATAAGAGACGTTGGACTCTGGACTCGCTTCTGGCTCTTTCTAGGCTGTCTCTCTCCTGAATACACAGACGGTCATAATTAGATCTTCCCATCCTTCACGAGTCGCATGCCTTTATATCTCGATGGATCCTTGTTGATGTGCTTTACCTACACTCTCTGATGTATTTCGAACCGTCTTTTATTGATACCATACAACTCGTCACCTTTATCTGCAATGTACGCTACCTATTCATTTCTGCAGCTCAAGACTTGCCGTTGCAACTTGTGACGAACGTGTATAAAATCCTAGCTGCAACATAGCGTCAACAATGAACATCAACAATTTGATACGGGAGCACCCTAAGGATGTCTCCCTATCAAGTCAGGCTCAATGGATGCCGGTACCTACCAAAGCATCAATAATCGACGATGGTATCGCCGTGAATCGCAAGTAGCTTAATACCAGTCGTCGAAACCGGATACCGAAGATGGATTCGAGAATTGAGAATATTATATAGGTGTCAATACAGATCAGAGCACTTACTTCGTGACCCGTTGGGCTAGATAAAAAACTAAAGTGACGTTATCACTAACGAACGATCATCTGATGTCAGAATTCATTAACATCAATGCAGTACAATAGTGCTGAAACAAAAATTTTAAAAATGCCATTTCATTCCACCGCAAGACTCAAGTACAACCCCGAGCTGCATCGCCCCTGCCGCACGCATCGCACTATGACCTCACAGCCCCACTCAACTCCTCCCACTCCCCACTCGTCAATCCAAAATTCAAGTTCTCCTCTCCTTGCGTCGTAGTAAGCCTTCCCAAGAACCCCCAAAGACTGCGTTTCTGTACAGCCGAAAAAGTGCCGTTGCAGCTCGTCGCGAATGTATACAAAATCCTAGTTCCGTCGCAATATCAACAACCCAATACGGGAGCGGAAAGAAGGAAAGGTGCGATTAGGATCGCACTCACCTCACAATATTCTCCTGGAATTCGTCATCTTTGTCTATCTCGCCATCAACACCGAATGGGACAGGTTCGATCAAGGCTGATATCAATGCATCGAGCAAAGACTCCGCTTGCTCTCCCTCCTCCTGAATCGCAGCGAGCGTTAGAGCAGACGTAGAGACGGACGATGGATCAGAGAGCATAGAAGCATGTGAATTTGCGTGGATTGGGGGTGGTGCGTTTTCTGAGGTGGGGAGGCTTATGTTTGGTTGGAGGTTAGCCTGGGAAGAAGGGGAGGAGGTTGGGAGGAGGAGTGTGTTTAGCAGGAATGTTGTTTTTCTGCGAACACGGATTTCTGAGTCTGGTATTCGTCAGGTGTGAGTGTCAATCATCATGAAAAGAAGGTAGGGGTTGTGGGACGATACACACCTTCCAAGCACATCCTCAACGCGCTCCATCCATCCACCACACTCATCTTTCGAACAGCAGCAGCATTCAGTTTCAGGAGCCCAGAAAGCGCGTATAGTGCTCGTGAGCGGGTCTCAGCGGAGTTGGACGAGGGGGAGAGAGATTTGAGGAGTGCGGGGAGAGGGTCGAGGTCGAAGTACTGTTATCAAATAGAACATGAACACAAAGTACTTTAGTTAGAGTGAATTGAATTGTTGATTATGAACCGGATGCGTGTTAAGAAGAGGGTGCACTGAAAAAGGAGGATGACTTACGGCGAGTTGAGCAGCTGGGTTGTTTTGCAGCGCGGTTCCGATTATCCACAGGGTTTGCATTCTGAGTGCGTCGCTCGTAGTGGATGCTAGGAGGAGGTCGTGTAAGGGTTGCCATATCCCTAGTTTCGTTAGGTCTGTGTCATACCATTTGTTAGATCGCATCAATCAATCCACGGGAGTATAATCACCATTCGCATTATCAATATTCTGAACTAGCTACATTCTATCGTAAGCAACCACACACGAGGTTCGATAATCAAACGTGATGGAACGCACCATCTCGAGATCATCAAGCGCCTGTAATCTATCATCTTCAGCTTGCCTTTCATCAAGGCCTACTGTAAGAGCTTCTTTCATGAGTTGGGCATCTGGTTTACCGAGAATGTGATCGATGATTCCGGGATCCAGTTTATTTGTGGGTGGTGGGGCTTCATTTGGACTGGAGTTTTCTACACCCCATCGGAGGAGGGATTGCATGGTGGTTGAGATAGATGCGATCAAGTTTCGGAACGGGCGGCACGATTTAGACTTGTGGCTCCGCGACTGTTTGGGACTGTCGGAGGTTTAAATTCCTTTCTAAAAAGTTTTCAAATTGGACGTGCCCACTGTTCGTCGACGATGGTGTAGACGGTGAGTGCTCCTTCCATTTGTTGGTCGCCGGTGTTCGTGATGACTACCAGTACTTTACCACATTCCGAATATACATGTGGACAATGTCATTGATTTCAGCCTTGTCTGACATCTCCTTTTTTCTATTTATATTTCGACCATCGACTGATCTCTTGCGCTTCAGGTATGCGTCGTGTGTGGTGGACTGCCTATTGTAAGTCTACAGTCCATTTAAAATCGTTGTTGCAAATGTCGTTTTTCTTGGATGAAATCTATTCGATGGGCGGACGGAATGTGGTGCTCCCGTGAAGTCTCCCGGTGTACAATGAGGAGATGGGAGCATTTTCTTGTTGAAATGCATCGAAAGCTGATTCTTTTCATTTTTCTGATTCTACCCATAGAGATTTTGATGCTGATATTGTTTCGTTATAGCATCAGCAACGCGACTAGGTTCCGGTGGAAAGCATGGACGAGGCGTGTAGTTGGTTCACCTAGCGTATGCGGCAATTAGTAGCAGTAGAGTGTAATGATACCTGCAATGGTTATACGAAGCTGAGTTAATGGAACACGCGGAGGTTCACACTGTGCAGGCCCAGCCGTATAAAACATGCAGTAGACTACCGGACATTGCCAACCAACTCAATGCATAGAGGAGTTGTACAAACAGTTGCTGCACATATGGCAAGTCAACGGCTATGGGATCCAGACTCCGAGCCGACAGCGCCCAGAGCGACCAACGCTTATGCTGACCTCGGCTTTGCAAGTATGAGCTCACCAGTCGGTAGTATCATTGCCAGTCCCAGTCCACAGAACAACGACGAAGACGACGACGACGTTGAGTGGGAGCTTCAAAACAATGGATTGTATATTGGTTCGTTCCCCTGAACATCATGATGGCGTCGCCATTCTCCAGCTAGTGTTCTCACCCTTTTTTCTAGGCTCATACTCTCGAATAGTCTTATTGAATGCTTTGGTTCCAACTTTCGCAATAGTGATTTTCACTGTGCTAGCATTCCTCCCTGACTTGGCTTGGCCCATAGCAGACTTCCCTTCTCCATACCCATCATCTTTCCCCTTCCCATTACCTCAAATTCTCATCTCCAGCGCATTCTTCAGTCTCACTCATCTCCTCCGCATTCCCATATTCTCACTCACTTCCCTCCTACTCCCTTTACAATATGCATCTTTTGCAAGCACATTCATACATGTCCTCATCACAAACGGCCTTCGTCTCGCATCCCTCGTAATTCTTCAAGTCAGACACACAATGGACTATCCCATTCCTACTTGCCAGGACCCTGCTTTCCGCACTGTCTGGTGGCTTTCCCTCAACTTTGCAGAGGTGCTTGCTGCTATTATACAGGGATACGAACAACTCGCTCTTTACCGCGATCTCATGGTCCCGGAGGGAAGAGAAACCGAGTTCCTCGAACGTATAAAATCCGGTTCTCTTGATGAATCTGAACCAACACTCGAAAATCCGCATTCCCCACAACAGGAACACGAGACATTCCAAGACGCATTAGAAGACGGAGAAACTCGAAGCGTGGAATCACGCATTGATCGTGGGTTAGAAAAGTTGCTTGTGATAAAGATGAGAGATGAACTCGAGGAAGTTTATGGGCTTCCTGTCATCGTGCGTACCCTCCGCGTCTCCAATTAACACCCTAATAATCCTTCACAGAAAATCCCAGTCTTCATATCCTGTCTCCAACGTTTCAACTCCATCTTCCTCTCCATAGGCTTCACCCTCCTCCTCAGCGCAGCATACCTCCGCTCCCCACTCTCCCTCCCCCTCTCAGACGTATCAATGCAACTGTCATCTGTCCCTGTAACTGACCAACTCAAAGATTTCCTTCACGCGACCTCACAAATGCATTCCTACGACAGCTCGCATATCCCATTCATCATAACCACCCCCCTCGTCCTCCTCCTTCACACGAGCCTTGCAGTGCTGCATACACCAACCCTCCTGCCACGTGTAGGCGTGCATACTGCTGCGTATGTCGGTGTCTTGGTCGGCCTCATGTCCTTTTTCGCGGGCTTGGCTGTTTGGGGGGCGTTGTCTTAGGTTTGCGCGGGCTAGTACCCACGTTTCCTATCTTGTGTTTGATTGATGCGTCCTGTTTGAGGGCGTGTATATACATGAAAACGGAGGTCTTTGTTTAGTTGCTGTGTTGCATACTATGTTGTATGGTATTTATTACCAATGTCGACGCGAGTCATCTGCTTCTGTGCCACTACGTCCATGCGCTTGACCTAAGATGAAACGTTTGGCGAGCTAGCACTTACGGGTCTACTGTCTTATTCAAGATCGAAGCTTTAACATTATTGACCTTTGATAACCCTCACATACTGATAAGCTGAGGGCCCAGGTAAGTACTTGGAAATTTTTCTCCCGTGATCTTTCAAGCGTCCTAAACTTCTTTTATTTCAGCCTCGGCGACTTGGAATGTGGTCTTTCCAGTTTGTGATGGGTACCATGAAGACCGTCACGCCGCGCATATTTTGACGTGCATGACCTGGGGAGGGAGGGTTGGGAAGTCTTTGGTATGTGCACTCTCGTCGAGCTCATTAATTGCACGACCACTCTTCACGGACACGGATGCAACCTCTCCGACTCCGACTTCGAGACCCGACTTCGGCGAGTTCTTCCCCGCAACTCGTCAGACAATCCACTCTCTGCTGATCTGCTTCTTCCACTTGCGGTCTCTAGGTTCCTCTAGAAAAATATAGTTGAACGGAGTCGAATAGCAATCCTGTCTCCCTTCGCGCCATCACATGAGGGATATAGCAGTCTTGCCTCATTTTCGGTTAGTGAAATATCTGTGCGATCATAATCAAAGTCTTCTTCCCATTTTTGCTACTCTTTAATGACATCGTCCATTACAACAGCAAATGGTACCAGAATCTGCGTCGTACACCGCTTCAGAGTGACGCTGGTAAATGTCAGACAAAAGTGGAATGGACCACCAGATAGTTCCTGTGCACGATGTACATTATACAATCGACTTCAAAAAAACACCGATCCCCGCATTATGTTACAAGTACAAGAAGTAAACGGGAAGAGCCTCTAGTTATATCTAATCAATAAACCCCAGGAATAAGCCGGTATTTCACCTTCTTTGCCCAATTCTCCCATTCTCCTCCTAGAGCACGCTGCAACATTCGGTCCTCATGTGCAGGTCGGCTGATGGAAACCCAAGCGGCTAATGTGATAAATACGAAAAAGCTAGCCATTGCTAACACTTTGATCAAAGGCACTTGTAATATCCCAGACTGCCTCATCCACGATCCTCGACTTCCGTACATGATGGCGACCCCGGTGCTTTGGAAAAGGAGACCAGTGTAGCTCGGGTGGCGGACCACCGAGTACGGCCCGCTTGTCACAAGTCTGTGCTCTTTCCTGACGCTGAGATGGAAGCTCCAAAGCTTTCCTAACGTCGCCATACAATAAAGCCTCAATACGCCACCAACCATGATGGCAATACTGCCGGCAAGAAAAGCAGGGGTGATTGGTGTTGGGTGAAGAATGCGTAAAAACCGCACAGCGCTAGCGCCATAAATGTCTTCTGGAATATGCGAGGGATCTATATGTATAGCCAGGATGCTAGCCACTTCAGCACACGATGCTGCCCATGCGCTGATCTGATATATTATCGACAGATTAATAAAGACAACAACCGGAGGTCAGGAGCAGCCTACCTGCAGTAACTTCGTACCGCGAAGTTTCAAAAACCATTCAATGAAGGATTCGGACGAGGAGGGCATCACCTTCTCTTTAGATGACGGTGACGGAGAAGGATCAGTCAACGAAATCTGGATGCCAATGGCTGAAACCAGAATGAAGGGGATCTTGAATAGGCTCATGGTGTGCCGCTGTACTTGACCTGGGGGTGTTAATAGGAACTGATCAAGTCGGGGGAACTTTTATAGGTTAATTGCTGTCCTCAGTTACTTGCACATGATACTTACTGTTATGTAGGACGACGAACTTGAACTTATTAGGTCGTTGAATATCTTCGGGTCTTGCTGTCCATGACACCCAGTCCCGAATGAAACGGATGAGTGGTTACATTCTTAATCAAAACTAGAGCTCATTGGCCGGAGTCGGTGGCGTTCCGAGAGTGACCTTCCCCGAGCTACACGACAGGTGAGTCGTTCACGAGAATCATGGGACATGGATCCAGTTGATGGGGAATGTTACAGTCCATACTTACATCGAGAAGTAATTGCATCAGCGTTACACTTTTTTATTGATTATGAATGTACTTTGCACAATAATGCTGAACGCACTCAAAGAAAGTTTGACACACCCATCATTATGCAGTTCAGCCAGAAGCACTGCCGCCACTGGATTGACGATTAATCACATGGGAGTGTCGTCGCATATAGGACCTGTGGAATCAATGTTCTGAGATATTCCACATAGCATATTGCAAGCTCGAAAAATTATATACCTCGCGGTGACTATTGTTTTCCAATTGAGACTCCTGGAAGCGAATGCATTAATGAGTTGCAGAGTGTTTGGCATATCAAATGTGTTCCCGTAGCGAGCGAACTATTCTTAACCTCCTGCGAAGCCTGCCGGTGTGTCACGGTCAATAAATGTGTAACCAATGGGTATTAAGAAATACATGTAACGCCAATTGCGCTGTTCGAAGCCCATGTGTTCGAGTGACTGAAACTTGGGCTATATCCAGCGAATGACAGTCTGATGCCAGTGAGATCCCATCGAGACACAATACCACGTGCCTTCATGTGCTAAGCTTGATTCAGGAAACTGCAAGTCCGATACAAAGTCGATACAACTTGAAATCAAACGACCCCACTGAATGACATACTCTAGGGTAATGTATGTTTTCAGTTACTTGCACATCATGCTTACTCTTACCTGGTGCAGGACGATAAAATTGAACCTATCAGGTCGTTGAATATCTTCGGATCTTGCTGCTCACGTCACCCGGTTCCGAATGAAACGGGCGAGTGGTTAACGTTATATATCTTAGCTAAAACTGGACATCAGTGCTCACCAGGCAAAGTCAATGACATTAACATTTTCTGACCTACACGATAGGCGAGCTGCTCATGAGAATCATAGGACATCGGATCTAGGAGACGTTCGTACATACACCCCGAAGTAACTCTTATGAATATTGGATCCAAGTGTTCAAGGAAATTTTGACAGACCCACCATTATGCAATTCGAACAGAAGTACTGCCGTCACCGGATTGATGATTAATCGTTTCGTCGCATTTAGGACCTGTAGAGTCAATGTTGTGAGATATTTAACGTCGCAGGCTCGAAAAAATTATGCACCTCATTGACTCTCGAAGGTGAATGCATTAATGAGTTGAAGAGTGGTCAGCGCATCAAAGGTGATCCTGTAGCGAGCGAACCGTTCTTCATCTCTCGAAGCCTGCTAGTGCGTCACGGTCAATAAATGTGTTACCAGTGGGTATCAAGGAGTATATTTAACGCCAATTGCACTGTTCAAAAGTCACTGTGTTGAGTCGAGCGACTGAAACTTGGCCCATATCCAATGCCAGTAAGATCACATTGGGGGCAACTTCCACGTGACAGGTTCTACATTATTCAGGAAACTGCAAGTCAAATATTGAATAGCATACACTCCGGGTTGACTGAGACTGATGCTGTTAGATTTCAGAATTGGCATCCACGAGGTGAGGTTGTTGAACGTTTGAACGTTGAATGGTCGTCATTGCACTGCAGAAGGCGTAGATGGGTGAATCGCATGAGATGATGGTTTCGTCGTCTGAAGTTTGGATTGCTAATTGCCGATTTGGTGTTTTTGATGGGAAGAAGTACTTTATTCTAATTTTTTAATGACACGATAGGCTCAAGTACTCATTAATAATTTCTCACGACCAATGAAAAAACGCACTTTTAGTTTTCAGACACCTCTCCTCCAAATGCTTAACATCCATTCCATCCCCCAGCCTCAGTAATCAGCGGAGGGCAGGCTTTGGGGTCGATGCGGAGATAGATATGGAGATGAGGAACCTGGAGGGGATCCATCTTGCTTGTTTGCGTGCTTCGGGGCTTATAGATGAGTGCCCTGGCTTGTGTTCTACGCGTGGAATTGACTGACGGGTCGGGCTGGTGTTCGTGAGCTGTTGATCGGTTGTTCTTGCGCAATGGCGGCCGCGCCTGCGCGTAGACAGTCAATATTATGGACCAGAGTGGGTGGGTTGGATAAGGTTGCTTCGTCATCAGCGTGCCGCAGACATTTCATGATTGATTTGGTGGCACTAGCGGCGAGTTACGTTGTTATCATCGTCCGGTGTTCATTCTATTCACAGATACGTTCTCCCCCTGTCACGGCGCAGAATGGTGGGGGAATCCTGTGCTTACGGGCGCATGTGCCAATGGTCGCTGCAGTACAAACCTTCGACACCTTGTGTCCGCTGGAATGGGCATGGACTGGGAGGGAAACCAAGGCCAAACCTTTGTAACAGGAGGCCACGGCTCTACCTATCGAGGACCGACTGCCACAATACAGCCTAGGACGTGAGCGCGTGAGCCAGGACTGCTACTACGCCAGGACCCTTGGCACTCCCCCGGTTTCCTCCCTCTACAAATCTTTGCTTCTGACTCCCTGACTTGACTAGACGGGTGCTTGCATTGTGCGGGGACCATCTACAGCCGGCATTAACGTGGGCGTTGTAGTCCTCGTGTGTGCCATCCTCAAACTTGTCGAGACTCGGTGCACTGTTCTGGGCGCGGCATCTCCCTGACCAGTGAGACTTGGAACTGAAACTGGTCGTCGTGGAATTATACGTAGCATTCTGCCCTCGTGTCGTCGTCGATCTCTCCTTCAGTTGTGTTCCCCAGAAATGTGCAGTTGCGCTGCTGTAGTTTGGCGAATTGGCAGCCACCCATAATCAAGAAGGAATGATCATGTCCCTTCTATATGGTCTGGGGAAACAGGGTCATCGAGTCGTGGTGCCCTGTGAGCCATCCTAGGGGTTAGTGTATGAGGCAAGAATAGAACGTAGAGTACGGATAGCTGAAAATGTTTGCCTTTAAGTCCGAACGGTGTCTGGGTTGATTTGATATAATCGAGGGTATTACCATCTGGCACCCTCCGGTCTAGTGTCCTGGTGCTTGCACCCTGATGTAAGGCTGTTAGTAGTGGGTTCGAAGGGAAATGTGAACGAGTCGTTGTAGGTATACATATGGCGTGTATATAGATAACACCAAGACAAGTATGGCGTTTGAGATGGGGACTTTTTCTGAGGCGTTCGGTCGTGCTTGGAGTGGGGAAATTGCTCTATGCGATTCTGCTATCAATAGGAGTGTACGTGTGTATACATACGTTTTCGAATGGATTGCTATAGGCCAGAATGAGCATAGGAGCATTGGTGGCTGCCCAGACTCTGCCTATGCGCCACTACGATGTACATCATACAATCGACTTCATAGAATACCGATCCCCGCAGTGTTACAAGTACAAAAAGCAAACAGATCCGTGCAAAACACTTAGTATCATATGTAATCAATAAACCCCAGGAACAAGCCGGTATCTCACTTTCTTTGCCCAATTCTCCCATTCTTCTCCCAGAGCAAGCTGCAACATCTTGTCCTCCACTGCAGGTCGGCTGAGGGAAATCCAAGTGGCTAATGTGACAGATCCGAAAAAGACAATCATTGCTAACACGTTGATGAAAGGCACTTGTAATATCCCAGACTGCCTCATCCACGACCCTTGGCTTCCGTACATGATGGCAATCCCAGTAGCTTGGAGAAGGAGACCAGTGTAGCTTGGGTGGTGGACCACCGAGTACGGCCCACTTGTCACAAGTCGGTGCCCTTTTCTGACGCTGAGGTGGAAGCTCCAAAACTTTCCTAACGTCGATATACAATAAAGCCTCAATGCGCCGCCAATCGCGATGGCAACACTGCCAGCAAGGAAAGCAGGGGTGATTGGTGTAGGGTGAAGAATGCGCAAAAGCTGCACGGCTCTAGCGGCATAGATACCTTCTGGAATATGCGAGGGATCTATATGTATGGCTAGGATGCTAACGACCGGAGGTCAGGAGAAACCTACCCCCACTAAATCCATACAGCGAAGTTTCAAATACCATCCCATGAAGGATTCGATTCATTCGAACGACGAGGGCACCACCTTCTCTCCAGATGACGGGGGCGGAGAAGGAGTAATTGACGAAATATGGATGCCAATAGCAGAAGCTAGTATGAAGGGAATCTTCAATAGACTCATAGTGTGTCGTTGTACTTGACCCTGGAGGTGTTGATAGGAACTGATCAAGTCGAAGGAATTTTGATAAGGTAATGTCGATTCTCGTTTACTTGCACACGATGCTTACTCTTATCTGATGCAGGACGATAAATCTTCTATTAGACAAAAATATCTTCGGGTCTCGCTATCGCTTCCGGAATGAAACGGGTGATTGGCTCAAGATTGGTTACTATATCAAACCTAGATAAAATGTCAGTCAAGGTGTCCGTGTTGCTTTGTGAGGTACTCACCGGGCGAAGTCAGTGGCGTTCCGAGTGTAACCTTTTCTGAGTTGCACAATAGGCGAGCCTAGTTGGTGGATAGGAGATGTCCGTACATGTGCCCCGAAGTAACTCCACCAGTGTTACACTTTTCTTATCGCTTTGCATAATAATACTAAACGCACCGAAGGAAAGTTTGACAGACCCATCGTTATGCGGTTCGGACAGGAGTACTGCCGCCTGGGGGTTTCGTCGCATTTAGGACCTGTGGAATTCTGTGTTCTGAGATATCTAACATCGCAGGCTCAAAAAATATGCACCTCATTGACTCTCGGAAGCGGATGCATTAATGAGTCGAAAAATGGTTAGCGCATCAAAGGTGATCCTGTAACGCCGATTGCGCCGATTGAAAGCCCCGCTCAACGCTCATGTATCCAGCGGATGACAGCGCAGTGAGATCATATTTAGGACACAAGACCACGTGCCTTCAGGCTCTACATGATTAAGCAAACACCAAGTCGACACAGCTTGAAGTCAAACGGCCCCGGGGCCATTGAATGAAATACACTCAGAGCTGACTAGACGGATCCTGTTAATTAGAACCGGCATCCGTCAGGTGATATACGATAGGTGAATGCGCTGGCTTGTGTTCCACGCGTGGGATTGACTGATAGGTACAGCTGGCGTTCGTGAGCTGTAGACAATTGCCCGGTGTAGCCAGTGAGGCTTTGGAAATCGATTTTGTTAATTTGGGGTTGGTCATCGGCCTGCGAATATGATCACAATTGACTTGGTGGCACTGGCGAGTTATGTTATTGTTATTGTTATCGCAATAGCTTGACGTTCGTTTGCGTTTATGGAGGCATCGTTTTCGGCGCTGATTCTATTCACAGGTACGTCCTCCGAGTTCCCCTCTATCATGACGCAGAATGGTGGGGGAATTCTGCTCACGGGCGCACGTGAGGGCATGTACCAGCGGTCGCCGCAGTACAAATTGTGGTTCGATATCTTGTGTCCGCGCTAGCCTGACACTTCTGCAGACTCCAGCTCTCACATTTATCCTCCACCTTACGCCCTGACGCAATTGCATCGTATGAGAATCATCTACAGCTGCCATTAACGTGAGCGTGGTAGTCCTTGCCAAGTTGCGTGTGCCATCCTCGAACTTGCCAGTGCACTGTCCTGGGAATGACAGGTTTATTAAGTTAAAAAGAACGCTAGGAAAGAAGTCACATCTGAGTGAATATCAGGCCTTCTTCAGCATGCACGACAAATTGCAATGGGCTCCGAGTTGGTTACCTGCTTTCAAAATTCAAGTAGTAACCTATTCCTAATTCCATACCCCAGGACCCACTGACAAGTGCGTTCTGAGTCTTGAATTAATCTTCAGCCCTGAAAGAATTGAAACAATCAGCTCGTGTACTATTTGAATAACCTACCCTTGTTGATGAATTGATGTTGCCTCGGTGATGATCAGCCCGGCACCCCCGCATGCGACGTAGTATTCCAGGTTGATGACATTTGGAACATTGGTAGGTACAAAACGAGAGAGTGATCAGGGGATATCCATCGATGATTGGAAGTAGATGCTCGGAAGAGTCCAGCAGAACCAGTTGCTAAGTGGTCTCCCGTAATAGGCCAGCCAGATAGAAGGAAGACAGTTGTTCCTTCTAGATATCGACGATGATTGAAAGTAGACCTGGTACCCGGTAACCAGTGTAGGGTTTGCAACTGCAGCTGCTACTAGCTATAACTAATACATGCTAGTAGCAATTTGTGTTTTGTGGTGAAAATATTTGCTGAGTCAACATGCGCCGCTTCTCCCACCACCATCCATCATGTATCACCTCTTAAAAGGCTTCCATGAGTACTTGACGAGGTAATGCTTCATATTGCCTCCTTCACCTGCATCTGAAGATGACAGGAAAGAAGAGTTCTCAGTGATTATCATCGGCCTTGATGGTGCTGGCAAAACCGTGCGTCTCGCACCTCACCGTCGAGTTCGAGTTCTAAAAGAGTCTGAGATTAGACACTTCTGGAGAAAATAAAGACTCTATATAATGAGACTCCTGGGCTTGACCCGTCCAAGATTGGCCCGACTGTGGGGCAAAATAGTACACGTTTCTCAGAACTCAGTTTCAATTTCGGCGCTCATCAATGTGAATTTGACATGCAGCTGGCAAAATATCTCTCCCATCCAGTATCATCAACTTCTTCGACCTCGGAGGACAACGCGGTATTCGATCAATCTGGCACAGATACTATGACGACTGTCACGCCGTAGCGTACGTTATCGATGCGCAAGACCGAGAGAGGCTCAGTGAGGGCTGGGAAGTCTTCGGTATGTATGCACCCTTCACCACTCCTTCAACCATCATAAACGACGAGCCCAAGACAAACCACTCACTCACAACTCCCACAGACACAGTTCTCTCCTCCCCTCAAACGCTTAACATCCCCCTCTTACTCCTCGCAAACAAACAAGATTCCCCTTCAAGCCTCAGCGTTTCAGAGATAAGGCAGGATTATGAAGATTGGGATCAGAGGAGGAGGGAGAGCGCGAGGAGGAGGTTTGGCGAGGACGAGGATGCGGAAATGGAGAGGAAACGGGAGAGGATTGCTAGTTTGGATGTTTTGGGAGCTTCAGGGCTTGATGGGTGAGTGAGTTTTACGCATGTGTGGGGTTGGCTGACCGGGTTGGCCTTCCAGAGCTGGCGTTCGCGAGGCCGTGGATTGGTTGTTCTTACGTGTGCAGAATAGTAGACGGTATGTGAGCTAGATTGGGTGGTTTGGGGTTATATTTCTGACTTGGTGTTTTTGTGCAGTGACTTGGGGGATCGATAGTGAGGCTTTGAGGATCAGTTTATGTTGGCGGTGTCATCTGCCTGTGTACTTGTATGTACGGGGCTACCTGTTGACCGTCTTATTGAGTGCGAGCTTTTCATGATGATTGATGTGGTGCACTACTGGATTATTGGTTGTTCACTTGATTCACAGGTACATCCTCCCTCTCACCTCGGTTCTGACCCAGAATGATGGGCGATGTTTCGTGCTTGTGGGAGTACTTTTTACTTGCGCGATGGTCACCGCAGTAAAACACTCTGACCCGTTGCTAACCTGGTGTGCGCACTTGCCCATCCCTATCCAAACTCTAGCGTTCAAAGGTCCATGTTTCACCTTTCTACTCTACAACTTTTCCGAGGTTCCTCTCGTTTACGAACCGCGACATCCTCGTTATGAGTTTGCTGAATAGTTGTGCGTCTTTCACCGATTGTCGACCTCTGCGCAAACTTTTTTTTGATTCGTTCATGATCTGTTGGGGCGTGGCCTCATGTTAGACAAGCCTCACCACATCCACATGCATTGACTCGCCATTCCGCTGTGTGGTGCTCTGGGAGTGCTATTTTGTCACGTTTGACAACCCTCGATCTTCGAATTGACGATTCAAAATTATCACATCGGAGTTCTGTGGAGTGTAGTACGCCTAGAAGTGGGTATTTCAGGCGACTCAGCTGGAAAAAAAAAGATCGCGCTAACGTGTTTGAATCTTTCATGACATAGCTTCTGAGACTTTCAGGGTGTAAGTAAGGTATTTTTCTCCTATACTGTCTGATCCGACAATATAATAGATCTGTACATGGGCAATATTGTCTGCTAAAGTGGTTAGCATCCTTGCCACGCACGCGGATCCTTTTTATGGTTTATATAACACGTGTACAATGGACCCAGGAGATCATAAAACACCAAACCCGTACAACAAAGAAACAACCGGGCGGAACGCTAAGTATGTATGTGATCAATAAACCCCAGGGAGCAATCTGTACCTCACCCTCTTCGCCCAATTCTCCCAGTCTTTTCCCAGTGCACGCTGGAGCATCTTGTCCTCCACTAGAGGTCGAGTGATGCACATCCAAGCACATAATGTAAGTCCGAAGAGGAGGATTACTACTAGCACGTTTACTAAAGGCACTTGTAAAATCCCAGACTGCCTCAACCACGATCCTTGCTCTCCATACATGGCAAGGAGCCCAATATATTGGAGAAGGAAACCAGCATAGCTTGGGTGGCGAACGATAGAGTATGGCCCACTCGTCACAAGTCTGTGTTCTCGTCTGACGCTGAGCGGCCAGCTCCAATACTTCCCCAACGTCGACATACAAGAAAACCTCAATACGCCGCCAATCGTGATAGCAAGACTTCCGGCAAGGAAAGCGGGGCTGATTGGCGTGGGGTGAAGAGCGCGCAAAAACTGCAGGCCTCTGGCACCATAGATGCCCTCTGGAATTTGCGAGGGATCCATACGTGTGACGAGGATGTTGGCCACTTCAACAGACGATGCTGCCCATGTGCAGATCTGTTTATCGCCCACCGATCCATTTAAACAACGACTGATATATCGAAGCCACACACTTTTTTTATATCATTACCCCAAAGACCTTCAAACCGTAGGATGACGACTTCGAACTTGGGGGGTTCCACCCTCTCTTCGACTGAAGGCGGTGGAGAAAACGAACTGAACGAAATATGGATGCCAATGGCCGGAGCTATGATGAAGGGAATCTTTAACAGACTCATACCGCTGGAGTGCCTTTGGAACGTGCGTTGAGTCGCCTTTTTAAATACCTGATGCTTACTAGGCTAATACCTACATTGGGCGTACTGCATGCGATAACACATCTCCAGCGAGGAATTTCAATTATGATCACGCTGTAGTGATCTTTTATCCGCAGAAAGCCAGGATCCGGCTTCCCTTGAGCTGGATATGCTCCTGGGGACGTGTCCTCTGAAGGGTGGTCCAGTAATTCATGCTTATGCTAGCAACCGTGCCATACATTTGCACAGATGGGGTTAACGCAGAAGATTGGCTTTGCCCCGCCATGGTTGTATATAGTACGTATATGGGCAGCACTACGCCCTTGGAAAAACGATGACCATGATAGGCCATTTCATCCGCACAATGACAGCTAAACCATGGGAATCTCGGCCCCGTGCGTCAGGAGCGCAGCTGGCTAATACAAATATTGCGCAAGTTGCCGTGTCATATATAGCGGTGCATAGTGCTTACCAACCCTCGAATGGCGGTACTCTAAAAGTGAGATTATTCTCGCGAGGGCCAGTCCTTATCAGGAGAGGAGTCCACTACTATCATGTACAGACAAAAACGAAGTCTGTCAGGTTTTGAAACAGAGAGACTTCGAAAATCTTCCAAAGTGTTGCGACGACGGCCTGGCTATCATGAGTTGGTTAAGGAAGTGACATGTAAGTACCAAGCTCAGTACTAATTTAGTGCACGTGGAGCTCGTGCTCAAACGTGTCTAGCTAAAAACTTCTGCCGACTCTACCCAACGGTTTCAGCGCAGGATCCCATATTACTAGGCTAATACTATCATAGGGCTCGAACGTTCAGCATTGACAACTTTCACTGGCATTTGCTCCGTTGCATGTGTCAATTTGGCCAGACCGCGACTGTAAATCGAAACTCCGCAATACCGAAATGCGGCACAAAAACACCAATGCCACGCTGTACCCGTAGTGCCCGTCTCCGTCAAAAAATTTGTGGGTTTTTTTTTTGCCTTATTGAGTGGTTCGTGGTTACGTCGAATCGTTGTATGTTTTTTCACTCCTTTGTCTCTATGTAATGTCTCACTTGTTTGTGTACGGGCAGAGTCGGGGGGTTACTACCGCCGCCGTTAGAGTGTCCGAGCGCAAGGAGAAGGGGCAGATGAGTGACGTCGGCCCTGTATCAATGTTTCATTCCAATATATTCGATTAGAGAACGACTTACAGTATAAAACCTAGAGCGAAGCCAAACGGGCGTCTCAGTTCTGTTCCCAGTCTAGACTGAGACTGCTTATCTGTTAGTTCTTATCCGCGTCGTAACTAGAGTTTGGTCGTGTTAAACCGCGTCAAGCTGTTCAGGATGGCTGGACTCGTAGCACTATGCTGAGTCTGGGATCTAGCATAAGTGTTTAGTGAATGATCTCTTCTCGCATTTGTATTCGAGCAAGATGGTACTCGTTGGTTGACTCGGACATGTTGGCGACCAGAATTGATTTTCTGCTGATCTGCACCCGATACTTACTTGACAAATTGACTTAGTATTTACAAACATATCGCAACGATTGATGACGTGAAGCCTATAAATACAGATGAGGTCGGTATCAAATCGAAGATATCTGCCTCACTACAACGTTACGGAGCCCTTTCACTACTAGGATGGATATTCACAATTCTCATGAAATCATAACAAACGAGACAACACCTCTGATACCTGCAAAGGGCTCGAAAAAACCTAGAACGCCCCTTCCAAAACTTCAGATAGCCATACTTATAACGCTGCAACTTGCGGAACCCATCGCTTCGACATCGATATTCCCGTACATCAATCAGGTATGGTTTGGTAATCCTTTTCTTCGACCTTTGATACTGATTTGCTCTCTTAGCTGATCAGAGAACTTGATATCACTAGGGGTGACGAAGCGGCTGTAGGATATTACGCTGGAATCATTGTGGGTGCCAGGATTACGTCTTGCGAAATTGGTTCGCTCATTAAATGGATGTGATTGGCAGTACTCTCTGTTTTTCGTCGGACAGGCACTGACAGTGCTGAAGTGGGCTCGGCTGTCTGACCGCATTGGGCGCAAGCCAGTATTAGTAATCGGACTATCGGGAACTTGCATTTCGATGTTGTGTTTCGGCCTTTCGACGACCTTCTTTGGCCTTGTCGCTAGGTACGTCTTTAGCTGAAGAAAATATGCATCGCTAACACAGTTTCTCTAGCCGCTGCTTGTGTGGTATTCTGAATGGCAATGTTGTAGTAATGAAGACTATGGTGGGAGAATTGACGGATTCCACAAATATGGCTCAGGGATTCGCCTTGATCCCGATCGTCTGGTGCATTGGAGGCTTTATTGGGTAAGTGGCGTCGTTGACGATGGAAATGGCAAATAATGAGATCGGCATGCCAGTCCTTTAATGGGAGGAACATTCGCGCGACCGCAAGATCATTGGCCAGTATTATTCTCCGGTTCGTTCTGGAGAAATTACCCCTACTTTCTGCCTTGTGCAGTGGCAGCCTGTCTGCCCGTCCTGACCCTCATCATGATGTCAATCTTCTTAGAAGAAGTAAGTTTTACATACCTGCCATATCGCACACATCACTCACGATCGGTAGACATTATCGACAAAGCGTCGGCCGAAGTCCACTTCAACTACAGTCAGCGTTTCAAGTAGCCCCGACGGAGAAGCACTCGTCACAAACTCGATGGCCAACATGCCCTTGCGATCCCTCCTTACGCGTTCGGTTGTTATCCCAATTGCAAACTACGCCATGCTCTCCTTCCTTGACATGTCTTTTATGGTTCTTCTGCCGTTGTTCCTTTCGACACCTGCTTACCTTGGCGGTCTTGGATTTGACCCTGCTACTATCGGCTCGTGGATGGCGTTGTTTGGGATCATAAATGGTGTTATTCAGGCATTATTCTTTGCCAAAATCGTCGATTGGATTGGTCCAAAGCGTTTATTCTGTGTCTCAGCGTGGTGCTACCCACTGCTCGTGGCTATGTTTCCGATATTATCGTGGATTTTACGTGCAAGAGGGGAAGTCGATCATGTAATCACATTTGCCTTGCTTTGCTTTATAGGTATAGAAGTCGCATGGGATATGGGATATGGTGCGTGTTGCAATAAAACCGTCTAGTCATCGCAAACAACTCACTTTGTTGCAGGGGTCATTTTTATGTTTATCACAGCCTCTGCTCCTACAAACAATGTCCTCGGTACTATCAATGGCCTCGGCCATACCTCTGCGGCGGTAGCTCGTGCTGTTGGTCCCGCCCTGGCGACTTCGCTTTTTGCTGCATCGAAGAAATACAACCTTTTAGGAGGAAACGCAGTTTATGTTATCTTAATTATGTTGGCAAGTGGAATGGGATGGCTGGCATGCCAGTTGCCGGATGAAGTACGAGACAAGGATGAGTGACAGGTGATTCACAAGAGGAATATATATTAGAATGTATTGTCGTAGGATTCGTGCTCATCACTCTACAGGTATTTGTTGATGAGTTATAGGATATCAAGGTAGGCAGACGTCTGAGCATATATGTTAACATTTGATGTTTGGATCTTATTTCAAGCAGTTAGATCTATATTATAGAAGTTCGCTGTGACACTTTAGAAATGGAAGCGACTCAGCGGCAGTGATGGATGGGTCTGGCTCCCAAGCAAAACCGTAGACCAAAACGACCATCAGTTCGGTCTGATGATGGTCCGGTTCCGGTTCAACAAGGGCGGCGGCCTGAACCAAGAACTGAACAAAAAAGACAGAAAGTGAAAGAACTGTTGACGACGTGGTACTGGGAACATTTCATGATCGTTTCAACGACTCAAATACCCATGGAAACCGACCTACTTTTGTCCACAATTTGTATGGGCAGACAAAGCGTATCGTGCACTGAGTAGTGTATCGCGCAATTATTAAAGTTCGTCATAGGAATCTGCCGCTTCAGAGTGACGCTCATGAATGTAATGATTTCACAGACATGTTTCACCGGATGGTTCCTGTGTTCGACCTACATCATACAATCAACTTTATAGAACACTGACCCCCGCGTAGTGTGGTAAAAGCACAAGAAGCAAACAGATATGGGCAGAGCACCTTGTATCATATGTAATCAAAAAATAAGCCGGTATTTCACTTTGAAGAGCCCCTAGTGTTATATCTAATCAATAAACCCCAGGAATAAGCCGGTATTTCACTTTCTTTGCCCAATTCTCCCATTCTGCTCCTAGAGCACGTTGCAACATCTGGTCCTCCTCTGCAGGTCGGCGAATGGAAACCCAAGCGGCTAATGTGAGAAATGCGGAAAAGCTAGTCATTGCTAACACTTTCATGAAAGGAACTTGTAATATCCCAGACTGCCTCATCCACGATCCTCGACTTCCATACATGGCGGCGATCCCGATGCTTTGGAGAACCCAACCAGTGTAGCTCGGGTGGCGCACCACTGAGTACGGCCCGCTTGTCACGAGTTTGTGCTCTTTCCTGACGCTGAGATGGAAGCTCCAAAGCTTTCCTAACGTCGCCATACAATAAAGCCTCAATGCGCCACCAACCACGATGGCAATACTGCCGGCAAGGAAAGCAGGGGTGATTGGTGTAGGGTGAAGATTGCGTAAAAACCGCACAGCTCTAGCGCCATAAATGTCTTCTGGAATATGCGAGGGTATATGTATAGCCAGGATGTTGGCCACTTCAGCACACGATGCTGCCCATGCGCTGATCTGATATATTGTCCACAGATTAATAAAGACAACGACCGGAGGTCAAGAGCAACCTACCCGCAGTAACTTCATACCGCGAAGTTTCATAAACCATTCAAAGAAGGATTCGGACGACGAGGTCACCTTCTCTTTAGATGACGGTGGTGCAGAAGGATCAGTCGTCGAAATATGGATGCCAATGGCCGAAACTAGGATGCAGGGGATCTTGAATAGACTCATGGTGCGCCACTGTACTTGACCTGGAAGTGTTAATAGGAACTGATCAAGTCGAGGAAGTTTTTATAGGGCAATGTCTGTTCTCAGTTACTTGCACATGATGCTCATTCTTCCTGGTGCAGGACGATGAATTTGAACCTATTAGGCCGAAATATCTTCGGGTCTTGCTGCTTATGACACCCGGTTCCTCTATAAAACGGGTGAGTGGTTACATATCTTAATTAAAACTGGATAAAATGCCATGGTTAACGTTTCCGGGCCGTGTTGATTTGGCTGAGGTGCTCACCAGGTAAAGTCAATGGCGTTCCGACGGTAACATTTTCTGAGCTACACGGCAGGCGAGCAGCTCACGAGTTTTTGGGCCCGGCTTGGGCCGGCCCAGGGCTTCAAGCCGGGCCTTTCACATCACTAGTCGAGGGGCGCACTCAAGGTAAGTTTGACAGACAATTCGAACAGAAGTAGTACTGCCGCCACCGGGTTGACAATTATTAATGTTTTATCACATTTAGGACCTATCAAGTCAATGCCCTGAGATGTCTAATATGGCTCATTGCAGGCTCAAAAAACATGCAACTCACATGTTGACTATCGTTTCCTAAGTGAGATTCCCGGAAGCGGATGCATTAGTAACTTGAATAAGTCGAAGAGTATTTTGCACATCAAAGGTGATCCCGTGGCGAGCGAATCGTTTGTGGTCACCTTCGAAGCGTGCGTCACGGTCAATAAATGTGTTGCCAGTGGTTATGCGTCTTATATGTAACGCCGTCGCCAATTACGCTATCCAAAGGCCCCCGTGTTCGAGTGACTGAAACCTGGCCCACCTACAGCAAATGACGATGCCAGTGAGATTACATGACAAAATATGAGAGAAGAAATGACGAGGTAAGTCTTAACTTGGGGCGAAGAACATAAGGCTGCCAGTCACGGTGAGTTGCCAGTGCTAGTGAGTACTTACTATGTACTAGGTGGCTTAGTAAGCACTTATTCGTGTCGCAGCTGAGGCTCGTGCACGTGGGCCGTGGCACGGAAGTAGAGTACATAGAACAAATTCATCACCAACGTACATATGAAGAAGACGCGAGAAAGCGGCAATGACCACAGGAAGCCAAATTTCGTGAACATCTCAGCTATCGCGTGTGTATATGTGAGGGATAACGATGATCCGCATCATTGACGAGGTCGCAGATAAAATGATACTGGATGTCACAGGTTGTGTTTCGCACGATCGTGGAACTGGGGTTCTTCCCAACGCTCGGCTCCCATCATTGTACCGTGCAAGATAGTATGATGAGCGATGAGTCGAGTCCGAGATTATGCAGCACGTACTTTCTTTTACATACACCATCACTCGTCCTGCACGTTGTATTTTCGTTCTCGGTCTCAACGACATCTTTAATTTTCCTTGCTCAATCATCTCCTCTCAGTCCTCCAATCGAAGACTGGGTTTCTCCCCTGTTCGTAGTCTGAGCCTCTTTTCATTTGACAGTCAGCCCTTTTAGGTTCATGTCTCTGTGAATAGACAGTGCCGTCCCTTGGTCAATCTGTGATCAATACACTTCAACATATTTGATAGATTTGAAAGTAGAATCGAACTGCATTGAATAGTAAATGGTGCTCATAGTAGATATATCTCAAAGCCTTGCTCTGCCCTAAGCCCTCGGAGGAAACCCTTCTAGGCTCCAGGTCCTCGTTCCCTGGCTCATATACTCCTCAGTCAATCTCGCGGTCCTAATGAAGAGCGATCCATCCAGCTCTTCTGCACCTTCCAGTTCCGTGCCTCCAAACGAGCCTTTGGGCCGTGCGCCATAAAGCGAAGAGAAATGCGCAAGTGCGCGCTGAATCTTCAACATGTGATTGTTTGGGTGCGTCATCGCCGATTGAACGATATGGAGGAATGGGTTAGCGACCTTGACCTTCGACGAAAGATGCGAGGTTGCACTGAGGAAGCCTTGGATATCCAGTCTGGGGAAGCCGCATGTGATCCAACACCTAAGAGTCGACGCAAAGTATCCGCGAAGCAAAAGAACTTGCGAGTCTTGTGGCAGGTAAGGCAACAGGGATGGAAGGAAGAGACTTGAGGTGACGATATGCATGCTGGAGCGTCCCAAAAATCAGTATATTTATTGCAGATTATCAGATTGAAGCCACTTACAAGAAAAAGTCTGCTGTTAAGCCTCTGTCTTTGCTCCATCCGCCGATACTGTAGAGGATAGTGCTTGTCCAAATACATTCTTCTAACTTACGTTCGATTTCGCCTGGCTGTGACGGGTCGATCGTCCATTGTTCGGCGTAGCGCCATATAGTATCACCATGCTCGGACATCATGCCGTCAAAATCTATGAAATGTTTCTTGATTTCCTTCGGTGCGAATGTCGAATCTTGCATGATCTTTGCAAGAATGGAGAACGCATGATTTTTTTGTGGTCGTTCGGGCTGAAAGGGGGTAATAGATCTCTGTGTGTTGAGGACAAGCGAGGCAAGGTGAGTTGTTGCCCTCTCCACTGCAGTCGTGCCGCTAGCCTCGAAAAAATACGAAGGCAAGAACTCGTGCCCATGCACGCTGGTCAATGCAAGACCTTGGGATGTCTATCAGGGACCTGTTCACAAGGATGTGTCACATCGCTCACCTTCGACGACCATGCCCAAGATGCCAAATTCTGCACCATATCCTACTTGGATGAAGGCATGGAACAAAGCTCCAAGGAAGCGAGCCAACATTACTGGCTGGGTGGATGCATCTCGTCCCTCCATAAAGTTGTATTTCTTAGAGAAGATGTATTCCTCTAGGGTGGCGCTAAGGCCCTTTTCCTTGATAACCTTGCTGAAGAAGGTTCGGTATGCGGCGTAAAAGCTGTCGATAAATTGTTTGAGCGAGGAATTGCAAGCGTTAATTCTAAATTCACTTGTCGTCACCTAGATGTTCGATGAAATTCTCTTCGGTGATAGCCTCAGGAGGCTCGATGGCTGGGCGCTGATTGGTGCTGTCCTGTTTGTAGAATTGTTCGATCAGAGATCCACTCGCGCCCGTGGCATAAAGTGCCAGCGCGCGATGAGTGATATGGCTTCATCGACACTCAAATTAGCAACATGAGATACGGATTAGTTAAGACGCACTTATGAAACCGCTGGTAGTTGCAGAAAGTGTGGTACTTCGTATGGTTATCCTTCAAGACATATGTCAAAGCTGTAACTGCTTCTGGGGAGATACCAGGATACCGCGGAGGCGAAAGTGCGCTCGGTGGGAAAGATGGGGAGGGGAACAGGGCTTCTAGTTCGCTGCCAGGACAAGTCTGTTGAGCTGCAGCCATCTTTGAGCGGGGCTACAAGAGTGCAGAAAAGTTATGGTGATGCATCCTTGTGAACTTGAACATGTTTTATATCCTTGCACAGGGCGCTGAGCTGTGATACACGCTTACCAATGTATGCAGTGGCCTAATGTACACGTCTGCCCAAAGTGCCCCGGCACTATGTGTCTGACAAGCATCCACAACGTAATTAGTGCGTCTGACCTTGCTCCATGGCACTGCGGTGATCCGATCGTATCGGAAAGTGACAAAACTGTTCCTTGGAGCTGAAGCCGAGCGGACGCGTCTCTTCAAAAAGTATGTAGTAGCCTGTCTATTGTGAGCATCCGAGACCACGCACTGGCGTTGCGCTAGGTGGAATTGATGCCTGCCGTGGTCGTGACGCGTTCGTGATGCGCCTGAGACGCGGCACTGTAATAAATCCTAGGGTACACAGCATCATATGTCATTCCAAGCACTTTGAATCCTCGTTAATGATCAACGTATGTATATGAGTGTGTCTGTGTAAGGATTGCCTAATATGCCTCTACGCACGGCCCGCACTTCAAAAAGTCGTTGGCAAAAGTCCACGTGACTCATGAATGAAAAGGCTTTACGCTTCGCATCCGAGTTAAGTGGATGCACATTCCATTCCATTCATTTCTCTTTTACTCTCTTTCGTTATCTTACCTTGTGCTCAGACTTCACGATTCCCGTTCCTTCACCGATATCTTTGAACTCGCCATATGCTCTCCGTACTCATTCTGGACTAGTCTCTCACTCGAAAATGTATATATACCGCTCATGTACACTCATACCTAGCAGCGAATCCTACAGTGAGATCCCCGCTCCAAGAACGATCGAAAGCCCCTCTGAAAGTCCTCGTCTCAAGTCCTAGTCTATTCATCTTCGTGTTACCTACTAACATGTCTCATTTCTATCACCATCTTCTTTTGTTCTCTCTTCCCCTTCGAACTATAACCAGCCTTACAGTCTGCCTGCGTACAGGCCCTAGAGGGATGTATTCACTTCTCACAAAATTTACAGTGCTTATCCTCTGTGTCCATACTATTAGTGTGCATCTTGCGTTAGTCCTGTTTGTCCTTCGCAGTCTCTGTACTAATATCAACATTTGGCACGCTTACCTATAGTGCTGCTTCAACCATAGCACATGCCGCGTCAAACCTCGTGTCATACATATGCCTCGTCAGTGACATACAATCAACTCCTATAGAATACCAATCGACATAATACGGTACAGAAAGCAAACACAGCATTCGGTACGTAGATAATTAATAGACCCAAGGAAGCAATCGATATTTCACCTTCTCCGCCCAGTTCTCCCATTCCTCTCCCATAGCACGTCGCATTATCTTGTCCTCTATAGCAGGTCGGTTGATGGAACCCCAGATACCTAATGTATGCATGAGGCAGCCAATGACAGCTAGCGCCGTCATGAGAGGTACTTGTAGAATTCCAGACTGCCACATCCACGACCCTGGGCTTCCGTACATAACGATGATCCCAACAGATTGGAGAAGGGAACCGGTATAACTTGGGTGGCGGACGACAGAGTACGGCCCACTCGTCATAAGTTTGTGTTCTTTTCTGATGCTGAGTTGGAAGCTCCAAAACTTTCCTAACGTCGATATACAATAAAACCTCAACATGCCCCCGATCACGATGGCAAGATTACATGCAAGAAAAGTGGAAGTGATTGGCGTGGAATGAAGAGACCGTAGAAGCTGCACAGCTCGGCGGGCGCCATAGATGCCTGCCGGAATTTTCGAGGGATCTATATGCATGGCAATGATGTTGACTGCTTCGGCAGACAGTGGTGTGTATGCGCTGAACTGTAATATCAGTGTTCACAGATTCATACAGATAGTACAGGAGCAACACACCTTGAGAAGTTTTAGAACGAAAATCAACATACCAGCTGAGCCAAAATAGGATTCCAACATGGTGGACTTCACCTTCTCTTCAGATGACGGTGGCGGAGAAGAAGTAGTGAATGAAATGTGAACGCCGATGGCTGAGGCTACGAGGAAGGGGATCTTCAAAAGACTCATGGTGCTTGTACTAGTCTGTCTTTAGAGCTTGCGGCGTGTTAAATACCCAGCCGAACATTGAGGACGCACGTGCTCCCAGGTCAATAGATTTGTGTCATAGATGGTCGGGGCAGTCATCAATTTTGTATCAGCGATCCGAAAAAATAGTATCTATACGTAAAAACCGGTCAGCCTTGGCAAGATTGTTTGGGGATGATCGATGATCGATCATATTCTAGGTCTATGGTTGGTCTAGCCTTATCCTCTTGATCCGGCATCCGGATCAGGGTCTTGTGCTTCTCCTGGCATGATAAGCGCGATGATGGTTAACATTATTCATCCATAAATTGAAGTACTTGCGAGTTCGCAATCAAGGACGTAGAACAGTTTTACAAGATTACTGTCCAGGGAAGTCAGGATGTATTGAATGTATCAGGTCAAATGTACTTCGTTGCCTGAGGAGGATTTAAGTAGTTAGAGCAAGCGAATGATACGTAGGCTAACGTAGCCTTACTAGGTATCACACAGCCAGGGACTCCTCATGGACGAGATTTTCTATTCAATGCTCTCTGATCGATCGATCCTTCGTCCGTCTCTACGCCTGCTCTCACGCTCGTTGCGATTCAGTGGGAGGGAAATGAGGAGGGTCCTTGTCCTTAGTCGATGGGCTGATGATATCGGCCTTGATCGAACCTATCCCGTTCAGCGTTGATATTGAGGTAGAAAAGATCTCGATCAAGGATTACAGGAGAATATCGTCAGGTGAGTCTGATCGACCATCTCCTGCCTTCCCTTCCTTCCGCTCCCGCATGAGATTGGATTGAGTTACTAATGGTAGAACAATCCTAATATTTTATATACGTTCGCGACGAGCTGCAATGGCGATTGTTCAGATGTGCAGAAACGCAGTCTTGTGGGATTCGTGGGAGGGATTAGATTGACGAGTGAGGAGGTTGTAGTGCGATCCGGTAGGGGACGCGACGAAATGGCATTTGATTTTGTTTCAACAGCACAGCACAGCACTAATCGGGTGATCGTTCGTTTCTCTGATAACACCATTTTCGCACCATATCACGAATTGACATGTTTATCACAAGTTGCAACGGCGGGTTTTCAGCTACAGAAAAATGTATGGGTAGTATACATTGCAGACGAAGATGGCGGGACGTATCGGTATCGTACATGAAGGACGGTTCAAATGCATCAGAGGAAGTGGGTAAAACACGTCCATAGAGATGCAAAGACATGCGACTCGTGAAGGATGAGAAGATCTAATGATTACCGTTCGTATATTCAGGAGAAATACAACCAATGAAGAGCCAGAAGCGAGTCCAAAGTCCAACATCTCTTATCGTTGCGTGAGGGCGTGACGCTGTTGTTGAAATTGTAGCTACGGTAGCATCACCGGCAGCAGGCGTGGTGGACAACGAAGAGTCAGCTGTCTGTAGTTGCGAAGGTGGTTGAGCGATGTTGGGCTTGGGAGGCTGTGGGCTTCCTGCAGTAAAGATCTTCGAGTGTGATGATTTCGTTTGCCGTTTCTGTTTCTGTTTCGCAAATGCAACCTCCCTCGTTGAAGCATTTCTCTATGTGGTATTAGATGAAGTTGCCAGTGAACATCCGAGAGAGAGAGAGAGAGAACATACACGTTTGCCCTTCGCATACGGAACTTCAACAGCAGGGCTGCACCCTTGCAACTCGGTACCTTCACCACTTCGCCCACGCTGTTTTACAAGGTTTCGAGCCCAGTCGAGAGGGGAGGATGGTGACGTAGCATGAGCACCAGAGGGGCTGCGGTTGCGGTGGAATAGACGGCTGAGAAGCGTGCTGCCTGGTGATGCTGAGGAGTGGGAGCGGCTTCGTGCGGAGGACTGAGAACATGAAGGTCAGGAAAACAAAACCGAATTGATAGTGGTGACATACATGGGAGCGATCTGGTCGGACACCAACAAAGAAACCTTGGGATATCCGATGATTAGGCGGACGTCGTTGCACTGGAGGTCGTGTAGTATCCTAGAGCATATATAGTGAGAACAACAAGATCTTTTAATGAAGGTGTCACGTACATGGAGTGCTGACTTGTTGACCAGGTAGAGCGCATTCAGTTGTGAGAATATACAATAGACAGTCATATCGACTCACCTTTGAATCCGAAAGTAGGTCGTCGAGGCCAGCTTCTCTGACAATTGCAGCGACATCCCATGTGTACGTGTTTGTGTCGTAACAGCCAGTGGCTAGTAGCTTTCCATCTTCCAACAACGATACGGAGTAAACTGGTTCTGCATGCTGTAGAGGCGAACTGACGAGTTGTCCATTGTCGAGGTCCCACAATAGCACTGTATAGTCTAATGTCGTGAATAGAAAAGTACATTCGGTGGGGAAGATGAGGAGAGAAACAGGGCATCGAGTTCGCTGCCAGGATAAGTTTGTTGAGCTGCAGCCATCTTTGAGTGGGGCTACAAGAATGCAAAAAAAGCTATGGTGGTGCATCCTTGTGAGGGGGGCCCGTGTTTTATATCCTTGCACAGGGCGCTGAGCTGAGCTGTGATACACGCTTACCAATGTATGCAGCGGCCTAATGTACACGTCTGCCCAAAGTGCCCCGGCACTGTGTGTCTGACAAGCATCCACAACGTACTTCAAGTTACGTCTGATCTTGCCCCATGACACTGCAGTGATCCGATCGTATCGGAAAGTCACAAAACTATTCCTTGGAGCTGAAGCTGAGTGGACGCGTCTCTTCAAAAAGTATGTAGTAGCCTGTCTATTGTGAGCATCTAGGACCGCGCGCTAGGCGGGTCCTGCCGTGGTCGTGACGCGCCTGTGACGCGACATATGTGACGCGGCACTGTAGAACTAGGTACACTTTGAAATTCTGAATCCTCGTTAATGATCAACGTATGCAAAACGTATGAATGTCTGCCTGCGTATAGGCCCTAGAGGGATGTATTCACTTCTCACTAAATTTACAGTGCTTGTCCTCTGTGTCCATACTATTAGTGTGCATCTTGTGTTAGTCCTGTTTTGTCGTATTACCTCTAATTTATTCATCTAGATTCTGATGTTGGTTTTCAGATGCAGTGTCAAGTGTTGTCTCCATCAAGCCTCGACCTCACCTTGTCAAGTTCGATCCACCCTAAAATTCTCCACCACCACATCAAGCCTCAACAATGGCCCGGGTATGTCGAGCCTCGTTTAAGCACCACTTATACCACGACAAGTTCTCCCAAACATCTTCGCAGTCTCTGTACTAATATCAACATTCACACTTACCTATAGTCAACCATGGCACATGCCACGTCGAAGCTCATTCATGCCGCGTCGAACCTCGTGTCATCATACCTATGCCTCGTCAGTGACATACAATCAACTCCTATAGAATACAAATCAACACAATACGGTACGGAAAGCAAACACAGCATTCGATATGTAGATAATTAATAGACCCCAGGAAGCAATCGATATTTCACCTTCTCCGCCCAGTTCTCCCATTCCTCTCCCATAGCACGTTGCATTATCTTGTCCTCTATAGCAGGTCGGTTGATGGAAACCCAGACAGCTAATGTATATATGAGGCAGCCAACGACCGCTAGCGCTGTCATAAAAGGCACTTGTAGAATCCCAGACTGCCACATCCACGACCCTGGGCTTCCGTACATGACGATGATACCAACAGATTGGAGAAGGCAACCGGTGTAGCTTGGATGGCGGACGACGGAGTACGGCCCATTCGTCACAAGTTTGTGCTCTTTCCTGATGCTGAGTTGGAAGCTCCAAAACTTTCCTAGCGTCGACATACAGTAAAACCTCAACATGCCCCCAATCACGATGGCAAGATTGCACGCAAGAAACGTGGGAGTGATTGGCATGGAATGAAGAGAGCGTAGAAGCTGCACAGCTTCGCGGGCGCCGTAGATCCCCCCCGGAATTTTCGAGGGATCTATATGCATGGCAATGATGTTGGCCGCTTCGGCAGACAGTGTTGTATATGCGCTAACCTGTAATACTGTTCACAGATTCATACAGACAGTACAGGGGCAACACACCTTGAGAAGCTCTAGAATGAAAGTCGACATACCGGAGCTAAAGGAAGATTCTAAGATGGTGGGCTTCAGCTTCTCTTCAGATGACGGTGGCGGAGAAGAAGTAGTGAACGAAATTTGGACGCCAATGGCTGAGGCTACGAGGAAGGGGATCTTCAAAAGACTCATGTTTCTACTGGTCTGTCTTTGGAGCCTGCGACGTGTTAAATACCCAGCTGAACATTGAGGACACACGTGCTCCCAGGTCAATATATTTGTGTCATGGATACGGCTTTGTCGGGGCAGTCATCAATTTTGTATCAGCGGTCCGAAAAATCGATGTGTATGTCAAAGGTTGCTCGTGTTCTTCAAGATAAGCACTAGCCCAAACCATTAATAGACGTGGGTATGTAAAAAGCGCTCAGTCAGCCTTGGCCATAAATTAAAAGAAGGGTGTGTTACTCTTGCGAGATTTGTCTGGGGAAGCGCACCATCGATGATCTAATAGACATTATTCATCCACAAATTGAAGTACTTGCAAGTTCGCAATCAAGGACGTGAACAATTTTACAAGATAACTGCCCAACAATATCGGGGATGTCAGGATGTATTTAATGTATCAGGTCAATCGAATGTACTTCATTGCCTGAGAGGATTTAAGTGGTTGGAGCAAGCGAATGTAATAATAATACGTACGTGGGCTAGCGTAGGTACTACACAGCCAGGGGCTTCTCATGCACATGGACGAAATTTTCTAGTACATTGGAAGTACGTATGCAAGTACATATCAAACCACAGCCGGCTTCGCTATGAGCCATGCAAATGTATATACGCCAACGAAGGAAACAATCATGATATTCTGTTTGCTATGGACCAGACATGGCCAAGGGACCATGGATAGACTCAATAGCAAAGAGAAGACAAGATCACATAAACAAAGAATCCCCCGACGACACCAGCCTATAGTGCAGTGGCAAGGTCATCATGTCCTCCAAGTTACAAGCAGAGCTCGGAGAAACAGGGGCGGCAAAAATTTGATAACCAAAGAATGAGGGCGGTGCCCTCATAATAGTGGTTAAACTATTAAGAACAGATACTACACTTGATCTAAGCCAAAGGCCAGAGTGGTAAGGATTCAAAGTCGTTCACAGCCCCCTTTTATATGAGATTCTACCCGTGCACGGGCCCCTGATTCAGACTTTTAGTTGGATTAGGCAGGCACGTCGATCGATCAGCCTTGGGAATTCAACAAGGCCAAATAATGGGCCAATTGCGTACATGTACAATGAATGTTCGAGGACTACACATCCAAGTCGTCTCCTTCAAATGAACTTCTCACCCAGCGAGCAAATGCACATCCTGCTGCACCGATCAGGAATGACCAATCAAACAAGCCACCGAATAGCGAGTACTCTGGCAGCGTCGCAAACAAGTTCATGCTATCATCAGACGGACCCTGGGGTTCTTGAGAGTCGCCTATCACAGGGGATGCTGTGGGCGGAAAGGTTGTGCGAAGCTGGACAAGAGTCGACAGGAGATATATGCCCTAGGTGCCTGTTCAGTCATGTGAGAAACGTTAAAGAAGATTTCGTCAATACCATGAGCTGCGCGAGGGTCAATAACATCAGTGATGCTGATGTTTTACGTGATGTGACATGGAATACCTGTGTGCCATCAATATATAGCTGAAATGAATGTTCAACAGACAACTCACTCTGGTAACACCACGTAGCACCAAGCGGAGAGAACATAAAATGATGACGCCCACAAGGGAAAGACTTATTTGTTTTGATAGAGATGGAATATCAAATTGTGATTTTCCTTCATTCCCTGTCGCAGACATGGGAAGAAAAGAGAATAGCCATGCAAGTACGTGCGCAACTATATCTCCATATGATGCGGAAGAGGGACTCGAGTTTGACACAGTCGGAGAGAGAATATTGAAGGCTGACTGGGATAAACATGACTGAAAGGTTCACAATCGAGGGGAAGACCACTTACACTACATACTCGGCAGACACAATAGACTGCCCATGACCACGTGATGGTTTTTCCCGTGAACGACTCTGCATACTCTGCTGCAATTCGGTTGCGTTTGAGAGCAACAACGCGAAGGCTCATTTGCTCTTCAAGAGCTTGAAGACCAATAACTTCCTGTTGGATCGAGTTTTGTTCTTAAGAAGAATCGACAATGTGAATTCAGGTTCGGAAGAAACAGATAGATCATACGTACGTCCATTTCGTTTGAACGACATGCGTGACAGCCACGATCCATCTGGTTGCGGCTAAAATGTTTGAGACAAAGTGTGACGACTTATGTTGGCCTACAGTACCTTTGAGCTTGCATAGTCATCCAAGTCACGAGAACGATCCCGTAGATCGTTCTTTACTCTTTCAAGCGCGTTTTCAGCGGACGCAATAGATGACGCAGATGGCGTTGATCTTCACAAGTTGAATAGTAGTACAACTGGTCGAGCCGTCCACTCACCGAGACCGATTGATGATGCCCCATGCACCACTAACTGCACCGAGTCCAGATAGTAGTCCGAGGACTGTGGTTCCCAACGTGACCAGCCGTGCAGTCACTGCTGTTAGCGGATTGTACAAGAGTAGCTCAGCGGGGAGTGGGATATATGAAAGGGCAAATACAAAAAGTGCCACAGGTGCTAATGCAAAAGCAACACGAATTGGCAGTGCACGAGATTGTACAAAACCTGGATTATCTGGGACCATTAGAAGACGGTTGGGTAGACAGGAGGGAATATGGCATCTCACCAGGCCGGTAGGTCAGGATGAGGCTGAACGACATGGGAACAAGTAAAAGCATCGTGAACAATAGAAGGAATAATGCTATTCGCCAGCTTAGAAGGCGAATTCTGTTATGACCGTGCCGACTCAGTCACTACAGAAAGCCAAGCGCTTGCACAATCGAATTATGACACACCTCGGTTCCAACCAATCCAAACCCTGGCACATGAGCATGCAGAATAAGATACTGCATTCAGAAAAGCAAAGTGAGAAACACGTCTGCGCGAGTGTTGAATGCCATGGTTGTGTGCTACTTGATTGCGGAGTCACTGCGGACCCTGGCAACGTGTCTTGCGGGGCGAGTTGTTGAAGGTCCTTGTACAACTTCTTTTGCAAGAAGATGCGACAACTAATGAACAGAAGGCCTCTTCAAAAATATAAGTGAGAAATCTGCCCAGGGCTATTTAGACAGGGGATATACCCTGATGCAACTACCAGGAACACTTCTGTTGCGGCGGTCATGGAAGGGAGTGAGAAGTCGTGGAACCCTAACCCGAGCTTAGGGTTTATTGATGGTAGTCACGTCACGTCGTCACGTCATAAACTCACGTGGGTAGCATTCAGCTCGTGAGCGAACGACCACGACAGCCAACGACCGCACGAACGACATGAATGAACCCAAAAAATCCGACCCTACAACTCAAGTAGTTCATGAGCAAGCTACCGCAACCAATTTATCTTACTCTCAACCGCCAGCTGAACCCGTGGTAATTAGTATTAGTCCACTCTTACAGGCTCCAACTAACGGTCACACAGGCAGAAATAATCTCGGCAGCACAACGCGGGGATCTCGATACCATTCGTGAGCTCGTAGAGTCAGGAAAGTGCAAGGTCACAGACAGAGATGACCAGAACGTGTAAGCCTAACCCAAACGCTTTTGCCACACTCATGAACGTCCGCAGCACTCCTCTTCACTGGGCAGCAATAAATGCCCAGCTTGCAACCTGCCGCTATCTCATAGAACAGGGCGCGGAAATAGACGCAATAGGGGGTGACCTAAAGGCTACCCCCCTGCAATGGGCCGCTCGCAATGGATACCTCTACATCGTGCAACTGCTCATATCCCACAATGCTGATCCAACCATCGCTGACACCCAAGGTTACAACTCCCTCCACCTCGTGACACACTCATCATCAGTAATGCCGCTCCTTTACTTATTGCATCAACCTGTGAATGTCGATTCTCGCGACTTACAAGGTCATACGTCATTGATGTGGGCTGCCTATCAAGGCGATGCGCTGTCTGTGGATCTCCTGCTTAAACACGGCGCGAATCCTAACTTGAAAGATGATGCTGGACTTACACCCTTACACTGGGCTGTGGTCCGAGGTAATCGAGTTATCCTCCGGCGCCTCATTGAAATGGGGGCAGACATACACGCAAAAGATCTTGAGAGCCGTACACCAAGAGACATGGCTGTTGAATTAAAGAGCTTAGGCGCGTGGAAGAGAGCCATGGAAGAGGGTGGCTTGACAGAACATGGTATAGGTAAAGCGAAACCATTGAACGAGGTCCGTTCACTCCCTTCGATATTCCTCTGTCATGTCTGATCCAGCTCTAGCGCCATACCAAAATCGCTATCTTCATTCTGCCTTCTTTGTTTCTATATTTTATTTTTACAACGCTTACTATTCTGCCATGGTATACCGGTATTATACTCGCCATGGCTGAGTTTTTTGCCATGCATCATGTAAGTGGCGACAAATTTACCATGACCATGCGATAGCTCATGACAAGCAGATCGTAACCCGGGTACTCTTGAATAAGAACACCTACGTCGGAACAGTAAACCAAAGCCCATATTTCGCAGGCATCATCGCAGGGTCAATGCTGTGGGTTGGTTACTGCTGGGTAACACGACTTGTGCAGCGTACGTTATATGTTATACTTTTACAGTCGCGGGCTGACATCATTTCAGAGACAGAATCGCATGCTTTTGTCCACCTGGCTTTCGCAATCATCTTTGGTCTATGTTTGTATAACTTCTTCCGTGCCGTTACTTTGGACCCAGGTCTTTGCCCCCGGCCAGCACATGATGGAGAATTGAAGGCAGTGAGTATATCAGCGTTCTAGAATGAATCTGTACATGGTAACGGAGACTGTAGATCATCGAAGACCTTGCTTCAGAGGGCAGACTCAATGGGCAAACATTCTGCATACAATGCATGGTGCGTGTCAATTCTGTAAGATGCAAACTAATGTCGACGTTTTGCACAGGCAAGGAAACCCCTACGGTCGAAACATTGTCGTGTTTGTGATCGATGTGTAGCGCGAAGTGATCAGTATGTCCTGTCCTTTCTGAGAGAGCTATAAAAGTGAACTCCGTTTGTCATAGCCATTGCCCATGGGTCTGGAATTGTGGTAAGTAAAGTTCTTTGAATAGTGGCGCTCCAACCTTGACGCGGTTTGTAGTTGGGGCAAATAACCACAGGCAATTTTTACTCTTTGTCTCGACATTAGTCATCGACATCGTATTGTTTGACTACCTTGTTTATGAATGTATGTTCTTGATCATCGTCCTTCTGAAGAGTCTCATCTGAGCAATGACAGATTTCTTGTCAACATCATTGCCCGAATTCGTTGACTGCTCCGCAATCCTCTGCGAGCCAGCCTTGAAGGATGCATTCCTTCTTTGCGTCTCGCTGTGGTCAGCCCTGCAACTGACATGGACTTCTGTGCTCCTTGTGACACAATACTGGCAAGTGACCAAGCAGCTAACAACGTTCGAGGTCTCCAACATCGGGCGTTTCGGCTTCATGGGCGGTCGTGGTACCCTCGCTGCTGGCAGTGGAAGTGCCGGTGTCCAGATGGGACATCGGCACCACCATGGCGCTCACCAGCAGAATGGCGACACCGACAGCGAAGCAGAGGCTGGTGCCCACAAACAGGCACATAGCCACACTTTCTGCGGGGCCCTCACTGCACCCGGAACATGTACCGCTTTTCTACTTAACCTCCTTGGCCTTGACCGGTTCACACGTGGACGTGCTGCACGCGGACTCACCTCGCATGCACGCAATCCATTTGATTTCGGAGCTGTACGGAACTGCAGGGATTTCTGGACCATGGGCAAGGAGCTTGGCGTGGAGTATGGCCAGGTGTATGATGTGCCCTTGGAAGGTTTTGAGGAGGCCAAGAGACGGAAGGAAGCGGAACGGGGTGACCTTGAGCACGATCATGAAGGCTCCCACAGCAGCAGGAGTAAGAGTCTACTCGGCAAGCTCACCATGCGGATGGGTATGGGCTCTAGTCGAAGAGGCTACGAACCCCTGAATCAGGTCTAGCGTATGTGGTTTTTTTGTGACGATGAACTATTTATTTTGTTTACAAATTGTACATGTGGATATTACTTTACTACAGGTATACACTATCCAGAGTATAAGCATTAGTATATTCGGTTCTTGTCATTTGGTTGACCAAACCGCATTTGATTTGCACTAACATCTGTCACAAAAGCCACTGCCCTCAGCATTATGAAGTTAACTAATCGATGACAAGTCTCATCGTGGAGGGGGTTCCAAGGTGGGTCGACATCTTCCCACCTGCATACTAGAGTTTCCGTATCGCATCGGCCATGAGGCCATTTGAACTCACGGATCAATTTCGTCATGTTGCTCATTTCCGTGGTGATCCCAAGGCCCCCGGAACTTAGAACGAGGCTTTTCCCGACTGTTACAGCACAAAGGCATGTGTTTTGCAGTCGGGTCGTTTCCTTGACGGAGCCGTTACGTAGGTAGCTTCCGAAGACCTGCTCTTCCGGCAGTAACAGCTAGCGCAACAGGCGCAGTGGCCATGTGAAAGGTGCCGGTTCCAGAGTGCCCGGAAGGAACCGGCACCACACGTCCAGCTGAGCGAAATGCTCGGCTTCCTCTCTTCGTCGTTCTCTTCTCCGTTCCACACATCATACTCGCTCGTACCTACACAAATATCCTCGCTCGTTCTCGTATTTTCGCCCACCCTCCACTCCCAGTATCGTTACAGCTATAATTATATTCTTGTTATATTCGATTATATCTCGAATACTCGTACATACATACCCGTCGTCGTATCCAAAGCTTCATACCTTATCGCATATAATGGTCATCCGACAGTCCGCCTGTCGAGCTTGTTTCCCGCCCACCCGAGCGGCAATCTCGTCAGCGTCCAAACCGAGCTAACGCTCAGCCCCAGCCCAACCACTGTTGGAATGACCGTTACGCCGTCTGATAGATGAAGCTGGATTGAGCTTTCCGTTTCCACGCCGAGTATGAACGGCGTAAAGGTTCGGCTTGCATACCGGACGCACTACTCTCCGGACAGACACAATGATCATGTACTCTGCGCGAGATATCCGATCTTCGATAACAATATCTGTACCTCCGAGGATATCAAGCATGGACTTGAGCAGCCCGGCTTGAGCACAGCTGCTGGTTTATTACCGCCGGACTGCAAACGACACCCGGCACCCGATACTGTTACTAATAAGGCTGGCTTACTTCCCTCTTAGGGTTGCTTTCTCTTGAAGCTTCAAGTTTAAGGCCTAACTCACTAAGGGTCGGTTAAAAGGTTTTAGTTATGTAATGGTTCTGCGATTTTGGGAGGTTTGGTAATGCACGTGCTAAGCACGTGGGAATCGGGAATCGCAAGTGTACCTAACCTTCCCGGGCCTTTACCTTACCCTAGTAGGCCTAGCTGGGGTCCTGGGGAGCCGCAACGCCTACCAGAGTCCCCTTCAAATATTTATGCACTCCGTTGCACCATTTCTATCCCTGAAATTTGACTTTGGAGGAAAATGTGTTACTGTTATCCAAGTGTACAAAACTTGCGCTTTGCCAGCTGCGCATCACTTATCGGTTGTAGCGGCCTTCACACAATACCGTGACGGTAACCTATACTGGGACGCACTCACATCAAGCACTTGATTCCATTCCATTATTAACCTTGTTCTTACACCAAAAGTATGTGCTAGTCCGATGCGCAGGTGCCGTCAAGGCGGACTAGGACGAACTCGCACACACTCGGTTCCATCATCAACCTTATTCTTACACTATAAGTAAGTGGCAGTCTGCAAGAATTGACATCCTATCTTCCACCAGATTACCCCACCGTGACGCACACAGCTGAAGCAGTGATGTCTCTCCCAACTATTTCTCGTGAATATCGCACCCAGGTACGCGTCATTTGTCCACTTACTAACAGAGGTCGACATTGACTTACAAACGGTGAGGTAGGGTGACGGCTATCAGAACTTGAAACTTCAATCAGCGACTCTCTCTAAGCCGAAGGCTACCGAGGTGACCGTCAAAATACATGCCGTCTCCCTGCAGGTCTGTCTTCATTTAAGTATTCAACTCCCAGAGATTCAACGTACCCGCAGTTTCGTGACTTGATGGTCTCCAAGGGAATTTACCCACAGTTAGTATTATTTTTAAGTTGAAATTCATGTTTAACACTGATCTTACAGGCAAAAGTGGGACATCGTTCCTTGCTCTGATGGCGCAGGTGAG